GAAGAGAAGAGAAGAGAAGAGAAGAGAAGAGAAGAGAAGAGAAGAGAAGAGAAGAGAAGAGAAGAGAAGAGAAGAGAAGAGAAGAGAAGAGAAGAAGGCTTTCACAACTGGTGAATTAAATTTGGGTTGTCTGGCTCAGCCCCAAGGCAGAGCCCTGCAATGCCACCCCAGCTTTGCAGAACAGCTGAAGGCAAAGAACAACAATGAAATCAAACTTACACATCAATTGTGACCTTAATGCATGACATGTTTTTATCCCTCTGCTTGTTGTCTGCAGCATTGACTAGAAAGGAAAGAGAATATTGTTATTTTATTACATTCTTAATCAAGGGAAAACACTATGAAGTGTTCCAGCAGAGTGAACATAAAAACTCACTACAATGTTACTAATAATCATCTCGGCATGAAAACATTTTGCAAATTACAAAGAGGAGTACAACAAGTTATCAGGGAATTAGGAAGGTTGGAAATGACCTCTGAATTCCTCCAGTGCAACCATTAATACAAAAGGGGGAATTTTGGGCAGAATGAAATCAGGTTTGTAATTGGATTTTTGAATTTTTTTTTGTTTGTTTCCCATCAATGGCTTGCTATTAAGTAGTGCTMATAAGTTCTTGACAATTTCTTATGTTTATTTCCAGTTTCTAAGACATTCCACCCCTATTAATAACCTGCCACTCACTGACTCAAGGGATCCGTCAGCTTACCCAGAATCTCATCAAAGATTTTATACAGGCCAGGCACAAAGGTCACATCTCTACAGTTGAGGCCAACGTCTTCATCATAAACCCACATTTGCTGGAAAAAAAAAATAAGAAGAAATTTGTAAGCGCCCAGGTACAGCACCTCTTCTGTGCCATCCGTTTGTAAAGCAGATGTTTAGTGATTGATAAGCAGATGTTTTGTGCTTTGTAAACAGCTTTTAATGACTCCCCGCCTGCCCCGAGCTGYTCGGGGGGCTCAGCCCCGAGTCCCCCTGCCCCTACCTGGGTGACTTGTTCCACGGAGCCGATGTAGGTGTCTGGCCGGAGCAGGATATGCTCCAGCTGCGTCTTTTTCTGGTAGATGTGCTCYACCGTGAGCTTCTTGGGGCCATCGGCCTTGTGCAGACGGATGTTCTCGTCCGCGGGCTGTCGGGGGAGAGGAGACGGCGGTGAGGGGATGAACAGGGGGAACACAAAAGGGTCCGGCCGGGCAGTGGGAGAGGATCGGGATTGTGGGGGTGAGGGGGAGAAGAGATTCGCAGAGAAGCGGGGGATCTGAGGAGAGGGAGGGCTGGGGAAAGAAGTCAAAAGAGGAGCCTGGGGACACCAAGAAGGAAACCCGAGGAGGGCTGCGAAGGAACGGGGGAAACCTTAAGAGAGCCCGGAGAGACCCTGTGGGTGCCTGGCGGGGGCTGAGGGGGAGAGACCCTGAGGGAGCGGTGTGGCAAGGGAACCCAAATCCCCGCAGGATCGGGGGCAGGGGTCGCTGAACGCACCCGGAGTGGCGACGAGGGCTGCAAGAGCTCCATGATGGTGGCGGTGGTGGCGGTGGCGGTGGTGGTGGCGGTGGTGGTGGCAGCAGCGGCAGCGGTGGCAGAGCTGGAGCGGCTGAGGYGATGGAAGTGGCGATGGCGGCGCCAACGTCCCCTTCAAACCTCCGCTCGTCCCGCCGAAACGCGCAGCCAATCCCCGCCCGCGGCACCCTGAGCTTGACCAATCGCAGTGCGGGGGAGGGCAGACGGCTTGCGCTGCCTCCKCCTTCTGACCAATCAGAGGCCGCAGAGCACGTTCAAATCGACCAATCGACAGGGAGAACGGCGTGACGGGCAGCGGGACCGACCAATAGAAGAACGAGAAAGCGAGGGACGAGGGTGCCCGGTTGTTGGTGGTAGTGCAATGTACTGGGACACACTGGGACACACTGGGACACACTGGGAAAGCCCTGGGGACACACTAGGATACCCTGGGAAACATTGGGACACACTGGAATACGCTGGAACACCTTGGGACACATTGGGACACACTGGAAAAGCCCCAAGGACATCCTGGGAAGTACTGGAATACACTGGACAGACGCTGTGGACCCACTGGAATACTCCAACACAATGGGGACCCACTGGGAATCACTGGGATACACTGGGCAGACCCTGGAGACCCACTGTGATACACTGGGAATCGCTGGGCTATACTGGGCAGACCCTGGAGACCCACTGGAATAAACTGGGAATCACTGGGATACACTGGGAAAGGCCTCATGATCCCACAGGGCTATACTGAACAAGCCCTGGAAACCCACTGGGATATACTGGGACACATTAGGCAGCTTCTGGGAGCACAACATTGACCTCACTGACATGGAGACCTGTGCCAGGGTGTCCTCTCCCAGTTTTTGCCCGTTCCAAGGGGACTGGAGCCCACTCCCAGCCCCTCCAGCCCCTGTCCCCATTCCCAGGTGGCCACAGAGTCTCTGTCCCTTGCTGCAGCCGGTCATGTTTCCCCCCAGAACAGAGCAGGGCATCATAAAAACCAACGTTTTTGTGTCTTTATTTCCGTATGGTGACAACGTYGGCTCCAGTGGGGGTGGCAGGTTGTGGGCACAGCCTGGCATTACCCCATGGCAGGATGGGACACCTGGGRACAGGCATGGCACAGCCCAGCCAGGGAACTGGCATCCCTTTGGTGCTCCAGCACGGCTCCAACCCTGCCCACGCCACTCGGGGGAACACCCGGAGCGTGCAGCTGGGTGTCACCATTGTCACCACATGTGGCGGTAGGGAAAGGCCACCTCGACGCAGAGCACGGCCAGCGGCGCGGAGCAGTTGTGCCGGTGCCCGGCCAGCAGCCGGCCCTCKCCCAGGACAGTGGCCATGCCCTCGGCCGTGCCAGAGCTGCGCCAGCCCCGGCAATCCCACCGGCGGGCATGGCCACCGCGCGGCGTGGAGCCGTGCCACGCCAGCCGGTGGGGCCTGCVGGTGGGCACGGGGTGAGAGGGGCTGGGGGCACCTTGGGGCACCCCCGGCTCGTTGCTCAGGGAGGGACCCCCCACCACAGGGGCAGCAATTCAGGACCCCCATGCCCAGACTCACCAGAGGAGATCCATCAGGATGTTGCGCCCATTGAAGGAGTAGATGGGGCTCCTCGGGGTGGCACCGGACTGACCCTCGAACAGAGCACTCCAGGACTTGGCCAGCAGCTGTCCCTGTGGGTGTGAACCATGGGGCTGAGCCAGGGGCTGTCCTTGTCYCCACCGTGTCCCCTCTCTTTTGGGTTCTGCCCACAGCCAGGCTGGGGGTGCTCCCCACCCACTGCAGCTCAAGAGGGCTTTTGTGGGGTTTTGCCACCCACAGCCCCACTAAAACACAGTGCCTGCCTTCAGGTTGACGATGGGGAGGGTCCTGTCCGTCCGTTTGACGATGGACACCAAGTGCTGGCTGGGGGCAGACAGGAATGCCCGGAAGGTGCCGTAGAGCCCGGCCTCCTGTGACTGCCGGTAGCACTGCAGGTCAGCGCCCCGGATCCCGCTCATGTCACCCGACAGGGGCACGTTGAGGGCGGCCAGGCGCAGCTGGGGGTGGCAGGGAGAAATTGAGATCTCTGCTCACCCCTCTCAGAGGGTGAGAGCCCCTGAGTGCAGTGCTGGGGTCCCCCAGGGTTTCTCCCCCCTCTCCCAAAGCTGGGATGCTCATCGCCACGCCAGGGTCAGCATTCCTTACGGATGGGATCCGTGGGGCGATGGTGGTTGGCACAATCTGGGGCACCCCTTCTTCCTCCTCCTTCTGGACCTGGAAAACCACAGCTTGGGTCAGTCTGGGGACACCCATGGGTGGGGGGCACACACCCCAGACCACCACCACCCTGGGCTCTGCTGATGCCAAGCTGGCACTGCCTTGCTGACCCCCAGCCCATCCCCGTGGCACAGAGGGAGCATGGCTGGACCCTCAGCAGGGCTCACCAGTGACTCTGTCGGAGACTGCATGGGTGACAGYGTGTGGGGTCCTCTCACCTGCACCCTCTTCGCCTCCTGGATGGAGAGGTGGGAGAAGAGGGAGAGGACAGTCCTGTGAGGTCTGTCCCCTGCATCATGCAGAGGAGGGCTCTGTCCCTTTGTGGGGACATGAGTGACCCTGCAGCTCCTGCACCCCTCACCTGGTACTGCGGGGTGGAGGCAGAAGGGTCATCACCAACCAGGAACGTCTTTGGATCCTCCAGCTGCTCCATGACACAAGCAGAGGGACAAGTTAGGGGGAATCCTCTCCTTCCTGGGGGTCCCAGCACCAAATCCATCCCTGGGTTGTTCCCCCCAGCCCTGCCAGGGACCCCACACGGTACCAGGAGGCGGCTCCAGCCGGTGGGGGTGCGGAGGAAGGCGTTGTTCCCTTCTCGAACGTAGACCAGGCTCCCCTCGGGCACGGCGCCGCTCGCCTTCACCATCAGCTCCTTGGACTTGAAAACCCACGTCTGGCGCTGGGGGGATGCGGAGGGTGAGGGTCCTGCTGTGGGGTACGGGGCAGCTGCTGGGGGGGCTCTCCTGGGACCGCAGCCGGGACGCACCCGGAGATCGGCGCGGGAATCCGACGGTTCCATCTGGGGGATGTCGGCTCCATCTGGAGAGCCCAGACACAGCGGGGAGGTTACAAAGTGTCCCAGCAGGGGGGACACTGGGTGCTCCCATGCGAGCTGGCCCCGCAGGGATGCAGTGGGAGAGCCAGCTGGGTGCCAGGGAGCCGTGCTGACACAACCCAAGGGAAGGAGGCAAGGCTTCAGGAAAGGTCTCCAAGGAGGCTGGAGCCCCCAAAACACCGGGAAACGCCCTCACCTGATGRCCAACTGCGCTCTGCAGGTGCCTGTGGAGGCAAACGGGGCTTGTTGTGGCTGCTGGGCACAGGGAGAGGGGCACTCTTGGTGGCCCACAGGGAGGGGACGGGGACACTCTCGGGCCAGCGAGGCCGTGGCTTACCGGCTGCTTGCAGGGCGGCTGGGCGTGGATGGGGTGCACCTTCTGCAAGGAAGGACAGGAAGGTTTTCTGGTGCTGTGCATGCTCACACGCGTGTGTGTGCTCTGACACACGTGTGTGTGCTCTGACATGCGTGTGCACACCCGTGCTGGGCCTTACRTTGAGGTAGAGGAGACCTGGAGGGCCAGGGGGGCCGGGGGGCCCRGGGGGGCCGGGGTTCCCAGGGGGACCTCGAAGATCCTGCAGCAGAGATGGTGGAGCTTGCACTGGGCTGTTTTGGTGCCTATAGGACACCCATTTGATGTCCCCTGTCCTTCCCAGCCCTGTCCCCTTCCAGGGCTGAATGTCCCTGGCTGGGGCAGTGCACCGGCCAGGAGGGGACTCTCACATGGGGGATGATGGCTCCATAAATCTCTGGTTCCTCTTTGCCATCCTTCAAGGGAAGAGGGAGAAGGCTGAGACTGATCTTCATCCTCCATCTCTCCATCCTTCACCCTCTACCCTCCATCTTCCATCCCTCTATCCCTCCATCCCTCCATCCTCCACCCTCCATTCCTCCATCCTCCATCCTCCATCCCTCCATCCCTCCATCCCTCCATCCTCCTTCTCTCCATCCTCCATCCTCCACCCTCCATCCTCCATCCTCCCTCTCTCCATTGTCCACCCTCCCCCTCTCCTTCCTCCACCCCACCTGGGGCTGTGGGATTGTCAGTGGGGTGAACCCTGTCCCCAACCCCGGGCACTCACCATCCTGTACCTGCTGATGGGTGCCCAGGAGCCAGGCTGGCTGCCAGCGCTGGGGAAGGGCAGGTGGCCTGGTTTGCACCCGCGTTCCCCATAGCAGCACCCCTGGGTGAGACGCAGAGAGAGGCAGGGTTAGAGCCTGTGCTGGGTGCTGGGGATGGGGGGAACACTGGGGTGGTCATGGGTGCACTGTGTGCTGCCACATGTGTGTACATGCATGTACATGTGTGCCTCTGCAGCACCCCCACCCTATGCCCCGTGCCCCGGGGTGAGGTGAAGGGCGTTGGGGGAGCAGAGGGAGCACAGCGGGCTCAGGGGTGCACACTCAGGTGTGGGAATGGGACCCCCCAGCCAGCTTCCCCCCCGCCGCCCCTCGTGGCTACAAACCGGTTCTCCGGGGTCGCCCTTTTCTCCCTGGAAGGGAAATGGGGGATTCTGTCAGTGCCTGGCTCCAGGGACCCCCAGGACCCATGCCCATGGTACCACTGCCCGGGCTCACCTTGGGGCCCGGCTGCCCGGCCGATGCGTGGTGCCCAGCATGGCGTGAGTCACACTGCAAAGAGATGTGTGTGGGGTGAGAATGGGGTGTTCCTCCCTCACACCCACAACCCGGGACCCCCTACTCACCCTGTAGTCCCCTGGTGGTCCCGGTGGTCCCATGGGGCCGGGCATGCCCGGGGACCCTGGCTCTCCGGTGCGGCCAGGGCTCCCTGGCATGCCTGGCARCCCATACTCGCCCTTCTCGCCCTGGGGGCAGATGGCACAGGGTGTCAGTGTGGGGCTGAGCCCCCGTGTTCCCCTGGGCCCACAGTGGTGGGATTGGGGCAGTTCTGGGGCAGCACTGGAGCCCTCTGAGGGGGGCTCAGGGGGTGCAGGGGTCTGCTCCCCCCAGGGCAGGGTGAGGGGCTGGTGAGCCCAGGTAACCCATCCCACCCCAGGGCCATGCACAAGCCGGGCTGGGACCCCYTTACCTTTGGTCCTGGGAATCCTGGCTCCCCTCGGAGCCCTGGTTTGCCAGGGAGTGACGCAGATCCTGGAGGACCAGGGGGTCCGTCGTGCCCAGGCACTCCGGGGGGACCCTGCGGTCCTGGGAGTCCTGGTGCCCCTGGGGGTCCGTCCGGCCCAGCTGAGCCTGGAGWCCCTGGAAGTCCTTCAGCCCCGGGRAAACCAGGTGGCCCCACAGCCCCTGGAGGGCCTGGGGGTCCTGGCTTTCCCTCCCGCCCAGGGGCCCCCTGAGGGCCATCGTGGCCTGGGTAGCCTGGGGGTCCGGGCATGCCGGGCAGCCCGGGGGGACCTGGGGGTCCTGGGTTTCCCACAGGGCTGGAGACTCCCAGCTGCTTGTCGGGTTGGAGGGAGAGAGGAGAGAAATGAGAGAGAGCAGAGTCAATGGACAGCCGTGTCCCATCCCCTGGTCCCCGTGCCCACCCGCACAGCCGCGTCCCTGTGGTCCCCATCCCCGCCAGCCCCGCCGGGGACGGGCACCGCGGGCAGCACCGGCATCACCTGCGCTTTTCCCCGCTCCGGTGCTCACCTCGTTCTCTGATCTCTGRGGGAGTGCAGCAGGCGCGGGTGGGYTCCGGGCTYCCCCRGCTCCCGGGGGTCCCGGGGGCCCCGGTGGTCCCGGAGGACCCGGGGGGCCCCGAGGACCCTGGGGACCTGGCTGTCCTGGGCTGCCGGACTTCCCTCTCTCCCCTAAGAATCCGGGCTGGCCTCTCTCTCCCGGGAACCCTCGGTCACCTTTCTCTCCCTGTCGGGGATATTTAGAGCCTAGCTCCACCTCCTGGCACTTTTGTCCACTGGAGCCCACCACGGACACCTGYTGACCCCCTTCCCGGAGCCACCTGAGTCACTCCCCAGCCCTGACCCCAAAGTTAGAATTCAAATCCTGCGCAAAAATGGTYTTTCACACACAAAAGATCATCAGGATTGCACGCAGCGTTTTCCTGTGGATCCCCCTGCCTCTCCTCAGGGAGGATCACCCCACCTTTGGGCCGGGAGGKCCGGGAGGGCCGGGGCGCACGGGGCAGACACAGCCGGAGGCGTTGTGCACCTGGAGAGSGAGAGAGCCGTGAGCCGCGGGAGCGGTGCCCCGACTGATGGCTCCGACACCAACCCCGTGCCCACCCCTCTCACCTGCAGGGCAAGGTCCATCCCCGGGGCCGAGGGCACCCGCCGGGGCAGCCCCTTGGCCGTCGTCTGTGGGGGAGAGGAGGGGCTGAGTGAGGGATCCCTGAGCATCATCCCAATTCCCCATTCCCCCCGTCCCTGCCAGCCCATGTCCTTCAGAGCCCCTAGCCCGGGTGTCCACCCCAGGCTGGCCCTCACATCCCCCTGGGGACCAGGACCCCATCACCACCTGGATCTGCAGAAATTCCTCTTCCACTGCGCTYCCCTCAAAGATCTCCGGGGCGGCCGTGGCTCGGTGCTGCAGGGACAGGGACGGACAGGGAGAGGGATCAGTTCAGGGCTGGGGAGGATCCCGGGGGGAAGGCGGGACCCTCCCGCAGTCGTGGCTGCCCTCAGCCCGGTGTGAGGGCCCAGCCCCGGTGTTCGAGGGGGCTGCACCCTGCAAGGGGAGAGCGGGAGCTGCTGTGACTCCTTTCCAAGGGGGCAGTGGCGATCGGGGCTGGAGAAGGGCACGGTGCCCAGCAGGGCAAGGACAAGGGGAAGGACATAGCAAGGAGCCCGGCAGCAGCTGGGGAGTTTGGGAAGGGCTGGAGGAGCCGGAGGAGGGGACAGTGGCCAGGGAAAAGCACCCACCTGGCTTCGTGTGCGCGGCGGGCCGTGGCCTGAGCCCTTGGCTGCCCCCCTGGACGGTTGGTCCCGGCGTCTGGGGGCTGTCGCCAGAGGGGGTTTTCTCAGCAGCACCTTCTCCATGGGCTCCACGCTGGTATCTGCAGGAGCAAAGCAGCGCTGGGATGGGAGGTGGCAGGGCTGCAGCGGGACCCGGGTGGCACAGCACGCCCAGTTCCCAGCACTTGCCATGGCCACAGCGGTGCCACCAGCAGCCCCAGACCCTGGCACCCCGCACCTCACCCTCCATGTGCTGAGGTGCAGGAATTTGGGGTGCTGGGGAAGCCGTGTCCCCATCCCACCGTGCCTACCTTCCTCCCCATCCTGGGTGGGGGTCATGGGGCTGATGGCTGGATCCGGGGTGGTTTCCTCGGAGCCCAGGGAAAACCATTGGGCCGTGGCAGGGCGCAGGCACCCGGCCAGCACCGAGAGGATGCAGAGGGTGCGGAGGAGGTTCTGAGGACTGCTGGACCCCATTGCGCTGCCTCGGGGCCCGGCTGCCCCCGAGGATGGGGGTCCTTGGCTCATCCCGCTCTCCTGCGCCGTCTGGTCCCGCCGCCCCGGCACGGCGCCCGCTGTTATCGGCGGCCCCTGACACGCCCCTTGCCCGCCCCACACCCGCACCCCACGGGCCGCATCCGGCGGGTGCTGAGCCCCCACGCAGCCAGGGCACCGTCTGCCCTGCCGGCCGAGGGAGAGGAGGGCGGTGGGGACCACGGGAAGGGAGCCAGGGCCAGGAGGAGATCCCAGAGTGGATGCGAGGGAGGGCTGGGGAGGAGAAGCTGTCTGGAAATGGAGAGTAAATCCAATGAAGGAAGGGGCTGGCTGAGGGCTGGGGGCATTGGCTGCAGGTCCTCCCTGAGGTCTGCCCCKCTGCTGCTGCCTGGAGATGGGAGGTGTTGGTGTCCTGCAGCATTTGTGCAAAGTCCCCAAATCCCAAAGTCCAAAGGGTCTGGGGTCTTGCTGGTTCCATCAGAGCCACCCTCAGCTGGGGGGCTCCAGATCTCTCACCCCCAACACCCACCTGCTGATCTGCAACCTCTCCCCRGGGCTGGGGCAGCTCCAGACCCTGCTGGGGCCAGTGGCTGAGGAGCAGCTGCCACTTTGGGCCCCCATGGCCTCGGGAATCCCAAASAGCCCCCCATCAAGGACATGGGGCTGTCTTATGGCAGGCAAGGACCTTGGCTACACCAAGCTCTGAACCCCTGCACGGCCACAGGGCTGTGGTTGGGGTGGGGGCAGCACGGCTTGGGGGGCACCAGCTCAGCCCCACTCCCCAGGATGGTGCTGGGACAGTGACCTGGAGGAGCAGTGCCTGGGCAGAGCGGGGGGGACACTGTCCCTGTCCCCTGTGTGCCCRCTGGCCGCTGGCACTGCCCGCAGACACAACAGTCTCCCCTGCGGACGTGCGGCGCTGCCAAGGCCTGATAAGCTGCCACGGCCKGAGCGGGGCTGGGCACCTGTTTGGGTTTGGTCTCTGCTGGGACACTGAGTCAAGGCTGGTGCCTCTGCCCCGAGTCACGGCCAGGGCAGCGCAGGGGCTCAGAGCAGCGCTGTGTGACGGGGCCTGGGGCTGGGGACTGTGGGGGACACGGACCCTGTATGCCCCTGTCTTGCCTGCACTTGGTGATGGCCAATTGTCCTGCACAGCAGAGAGCAGATAGTCTTGAGAGCCCTCGTGGCAATGCCACCAGTGGTGTCACCGGTTTAAGCACTGGATGGGCTCACCCATGAGATGAGTTTGGGGTTCTCAGCCCAGGCCCTGCATGGCAGGCAGCTCTGTTCCTCTTGTCCCACCCCCTACACTGACCCCACACCAGGGACCCCCCACCATGTCCCCACCATGTGCTGTGCCCAAGACCCCGCTGCAGTGCCCACGACCCTYTTGCCACATCCAGATGGGTCCTCCCAGCTGCCCCAAGCGCGGTGTTGGCTGAGATGCCCCAGGACGCAGCTTGGGGGTCACCAGCCCCGGGTGAATCTCGTGGACTGTGCCCCAGGGCTGCTCCCCGCMGTCTCCCGGGGTCCTGTCCTCTCCCGGTGCTGCGGGGACTGGCGGGGCCGGGGTCCCAGRGGGATGCCGGGGTTTCCGCCCGCTCCCGCATTTCCCGAGCAGCCGCTAGGTGCCGGCAGCCTTCAACCTTTCCCGGGCTGTGCGGGGCGGGGGGCGCGGGGGCCGCGGGTGCGGGACCGGGGGCAGGTGGGCTCGGTGGGGCCGCTCCGGGCCGCCCCGGGCAGAGCGGGTCCGAGCCGCACGGRATGCTCCGTTGCCAGCAGCGCTTTGCCTCCCGCCGGGACCCCCCACGCCCGGAGCCCGAAGCCCACCCCGGGGGTCTTGGCCTTATCCCCCTCCCCGCAGCCCCGCACGGTGTGTGTCCCCCCGGTTATCCCGGTTGCTCTCGGGACTGGGGAGGGGGTCGAGGCGGCGGATGATTCGGGCGGCTGGCACGGGGCCGGGGGGCTCGGGGCCGGATCTCCGCGCTGCCCGGCGCCGGGGCCGCCCCGCCGGTGGCCCCGCTGCTGCAGCCGCCGCCGGTGCCTGTGCCGGTGTGGCCGCCGCCGGGGGGAGCGTCGCCGCCCGGTGGGTTCCCGGTGGCGACGGGGGCGGCCCCGCCGGTGGCCCCGGTGGCGGCGGCGGGAGGTGTGGCCAGGGGCCGCATAAAGCCGCATAAAGCCGCCGCCGCCACCCCGCGCCCGCCGCCAGCCGAGCGCCGCGGAGCGGGGCCGGAGCGGGGCCGCCATGCGCCCGGGGCCGGGGCTGCCGGGGCTGCCGGTGCTGCCGGTGGTGCTGGCGCTGCTGGCGGCGGCGGCGCGGCCGGGCAGCGGCGAGGARGCGATCCAGTGCCCGCCGTGCTCGGAGGAGCGGCTGGCGCGGTGCAAGGCTCCGCAGGGCTGCGCGGAGCTGGTGCGGGAGCCGGGCTGCGGGTGCTGCGCGACCTGCGCTCTGCCCCGCGGCACCGCCTGCGGCGTCTACACCGCGCGCTGCGGTGCGGGGCTGCGCTGCTACCCACCCCGCGGCGAGCCCCGGCCCCTCCGCACCCTCATGCACGGCCAGGGCATCTGCACAGACCTGGCCGACGTCGAGGCCATCCAGGAGAGCCTCCAGCCCCCAGGTGAGGCGGCGGAGGGGCGGCAGAGGGTGGGTGCCCAGGGTGGGTACCCTGGGTGGGTGCCTGGGGGTCCTTGTCCCTCACAGGGGCAGTGGCACAACCCCTGCTGGCACCAACCCACTCCCTGCTCACTCGGCAAGAGCTGGGGCCACAGGATCGGACTCATCAGGGACCTTCCCTTACTTAGAGGGACCTTGTAAAAATGATGAGGGGTGACTTTTACACGGATAGATTGTGACAGGGCAARGGGAAGGATTTTAAACTAAAAAGGGAAGGTTTAGATTAGATATTAGGAGGAAAATCCTCACTGTGAGGGGGGTGAGGCTCTGGCACAGGTTGCCCAGAATATTTCTGGATGCCCCATCTRTGGAAGTGTTCAAAGCCAGGTGGGATGGGAGAAACCTCTCTTCGTGGAAGGTGTCCCTGCCCATGGCAGGAGGGTGGGACTGGGTGGTCTTTAAGGTCCCTTCCAACCCAAACCATTCCATGACTCTAAGAGGCAAGACGGGAACGCAGGGAGCACGTTCCAGGCAGGGAGCAGAGGTGGGCTGCAGGAGACCTGGTACAAGTGGTTCACATTTTGTGCCATCCTCACCCACCATGGGCACAGCAGAGTCACAGCCCCGCACAGCCGGTGGCACTGYGTGTGCTGGAGAAATGAACTTTGCAGGTTCTTGTCACCTGCTGTGCCCTGGCTGCAACGTGTCCCTGGACCGTGGGACAGCCCAGTGTCCCACGAGCACCTGCAGCCCTTGGGGACACATCTCAGCTGCCAGGGAAGCTCCCATTGCACAGTGACCCGTGTGCTGACCCTTCCCTGGGWTTCTGCCAGCAGATCTGGCTGCACCGCCGGGAGGAAACAGAGGAGAGCCCACGGGGCACCTGCGTCCCTGCAGGCAGGTCCGGATGGGCAGGAGCTATGTGTGTCCGTGCCGGACAGGGCAGCGGGGTGCGGGCAGGGCCAGGCTGGAGGAGCTGCTGCCGGTGTGCTCTGCCTGTCTGTCTGCCCTGTCCCCCTCGCAGGGGGTGATCGTGGCCCCCTGCCATCCCCTGGTGCTTGGACAGGGGCTGGGGGCTGGGAGCAGAGCCGGCAGCAGGACCCCAYCCCAGAGCTGTGCAGGTCGCACCATGGGAATGAAACTGCTCCCAGRGGAGGAGTGTGGGGACCTGGTCCATTTTGGGTCTGTGCTCCTCTTTCCCATCCTGCAGGCTGTGGCTGTGTCCCCTGGATTTGGGGAGTGGCATCTCAGCATGGGACACCCCACAAGCTGCTCTGGCCTGGCCCTGGGTCCCTGTGCGGGGTCACTTGGAGCTCCCGGATGGGCAGAAGGGACAGGAGCAATGTCTGTCCCTGCCCATCCGGGGCTGGATCCCATTTCCATTCCCTCCTTGCACGTCTGGTCCGTGGCAGCTCCGCTGTGATGAGTGCCATYCATGGATGGGCCCCTCCAGCCACCCTCCTGCAGGGACAGGAGCTGACTGGGAGTGCTTGGAGCCCCCCTGTCCTGCCTGTCTGTCCTCATCCCACATCCTGCAGGAGCTGTCTGGGCTCCCTGGCCCGGGGCTGCGCCGCTCTGCCAAGCCCTGTTGGTTTTGGCCGTGCCCCGTGTAAATGCAACATTTTTTCCCAGAGCCTTTAGGAAACAGAGTTGCATTTTTTCCCTTCCTTCCCGCGGTGTTTTGGCTTGGCCGGGGACGGCCGGGTGGCTATGGCAGCCGGGTCGCCCTCCGGGCACTGTGCTGGCCGGCGGCGTCACAGGTAGCAGGACGGGCCAGAGGGCAGTGGGAACCCCTGGACAGCCCGTCGGGGTGTGGGTGAGACACCCACAGCAAATTTCTGGGTGCAGTCCCAAGGGTCCATCCCCCCGCGGGTCCCTGAGCTGCTCTGCCGGCAGTGCGAGTGCGGGGCTGGGGGCTGCAGGCTCCCTCGCTGCCACACAGCCCCGCCTGGCACAACGAGGGCACCCCRGCACGGCCAGTGCCCCCGATGTGTCCCCTCGGGATCGGCAGAAGGGAATTCAATGCCTGTTCAGGGGCAGGGGCGCACGGAGCAGGTGCCCCCGGCTGTGCCCGCGGCCGCGGGGCCGAGCGGGTGCCGGCGGCTGGGAAGCGGTTAACGCGCAGCTCGTACAGTAAACACTTTGTCTGGGGGCTCTGTCCGGGGGGCTCCGCATTCCAGGGAAGAGGCTGGRATCAGGGGGCTGGGCTGAGGCTGGGCTTTCTGAGCGCTTGGACACGGCTCCCGGTTCCATCGCCGGGAAGAGCCTCTCGGCTCAGCCGGGACCTGTGGCACCCGCGGGAGGTGATTTTTAGAGTGGGGGTCTCRCCTGATTCGAGACCCTCTCTGTGGYCTCGGGCCCGGGCACCTTGTGCTGGACCCTGTCCCTGCCTCCTGCTCCCGGCTCTGCCAGGTCAGCGCTGGCTTTGGGACCCCAAAACCGGGGGCCGGCTCCAGGAGATCCCAGCCGTGGCTTTCCGGCACAGCCGGGTGGCGGTGGTGGCTGAGCCCGTGTGTGGCAGCCAGGAGGAGGTGAGGACATATTCCCCAGCACACACGATGAGTGATTTAGCGCTGGGTAAATGATTATGTCTGGGAAAACCTGACCCATGGGAGCTGCCTTCATCCCGTGTGGTCTCTGTAAGCTGGGACAGATCCTGTTTCCTTTCTGTGTGCAGTGACTGGGAGGGATGGCAGTGCCTGAGCCATGGCTGAACAGTGCACGGGCAGGGGGGACAGACCGCCTTCATCCAGGAAAAGCGCAGCCGTGTCCCATCTGTCCCCTGGGATGGRAGTTCATCCATACTTGGGTTTCTCCAGGCTGGGTGCTGCTCCTGGCAAGGTTCTGGTCCCTCTGGGGAATCATCTGCATCTGCATCCCTCATTCCCTGTTCGGCGTCGTGACCTTCCCTCCCTCGGTCCCGCGTTGGGCGCTGAGCTGGGAGGTGTTCAGCCGTGTTTAAGCACGGCAGTGTGTCCTGAGATGGAGATAGGCCAGGCTCCCAGCTGGCACCCCAGGCCAAGGGGCAATAGGTGCCCGGTCCCTGTGCCCCTGCCACCCCCATCCCCAGCTCTCCACGCTCTGCCGGGGCCAGCGCTTGCCAAAATGAGCACAGCCCTCCCAGCCCTSCTGCCTGCCAAGCCGAGAGCCCAGGAAGCCAAGAGCTGGCACTGCCATGGCCCTGCCAGGACCACCCACAGGTGACACAGGGACATGAGCTGGGGCTCACCGTGGCTTGTGCCATGTTGGCCACAGGCACGGGGATGTCCCTTCTTGTCTTTGAGGCATCTGAGGCCCTTCGTGCTGGAGCTGGTGGCACAGCGGGGAGCAGGGCTGGAGCAGTGGGGGTCAGTGACACTTGTCTGTCCCCATGGACACACACACGATGTCCCAGGGCTTTGCTGGCTGTCCCCGGCTCTGCTCCCACGGGATCCGCGCGGTGGAGCCGGAGCCCTTCACCGCTCCCTCGGGCTCAGCGCTGTGAATCACAAGCTCGGCACGTGACCAACCTCATTTGCAGCTCCCGTTAATTGAAGGCGATGCTGAATGACTCGTTTGTGTCCCCTGTCCACAGGCCGGGCAGGAATCCTCCTCCGTCCCGGGACGGGCGGCTGTTTTATGTGTCCGGCGAGGGCACCACTCCCTCCCATCCCCTCGGCACTCAATTCCATCCCAAACTGAGCAGAGGGGCTTCCCTTGGCTACATCGGGACGCCCCACCCCACTCCATCCCTCCAGGGTGGTGGTGCCCATGTATAGGTGGCAAATTGGGTGGCATCAGGGAGGTGTGGTGGTGGCAGAACCGGGCTCCACACGCGTTGCTTTTCCCATTGTCTTTGTGCCGAGGGTGAGGAGCTTTCTGCTCCAGCCGAATTGCCAGGGAGGCGAGAGGTTCCCTGAGCTGCMGTGTGTCATTTAACAGGGCGACAGTAACCCCAGGGACGGCAGCGATGTGCGTGGCGGGGAGGGACCCTGGAGCTGCCGTGACAGCCGGGGGTCCCGGGCGCTGTCAGGAGCCGCCTCGCTGCCCGGAGGCACCGGCGTTTCATGTGACCTTATGAAAACGTTATTGGCATCTGGTTTTATTTAAGCCGGGAGATTYGATGCTCTGGAGGCGGCCGGCGGGGGGAGGAGGGAGGCTTGGCTGYGCCGGCCATCGGTGAGGGCTTCCCCTGCGGGGGCAGCGCCGGTGCCTCCCGGTCCTGCCTTTCCACGGCGCGGGAGCAGCTCACGGAGGTGCCGGAACTTTGGRATTTGGTCCCCAAATCTGCCCAGCTCTTCCCTTGTGTCTCCCCGCAGGGACACAGGGGAGGGAAGGAGCATCCCTGCCAGAASCCCCGAGCTCCTGGCGGGGCTCTGCCACCAGCGCCCGCATTGCGCCACGGCCTCACGGTTGGTGCCGCCGGGGCTGGCGCTGGCACCGCTCTGCGCAGGGTCCCGGAGACTTTGGGTTTGTGTTTCAAATTTCAAGGGCATGAGCCATTTCCTGGAAAAAAATGGACAGATTAAGCAAAAAGCAAATAACACCCACGAGGGAAGGGGCTTTGATTGGGATTTCGCTGTGGACTTTACCCGGGCCCCCAGGAGCTGGGCCAGGAGCCCTGCGTTGCAGGGACGGCGGCAAGGGATGGGAGACCGGGGCCAGGATGCCGTGGGCTACKGCGGGCAGGAAGCTGCGGCTCCCACCCCTCTGCCTGCCTGTGGGAAGGGCCAGTGCCAGGCGCCACCCAGCAGCCTCTGTCCCGGCGCTGCGAGCCCCTGGGTGTGACCCCCGACGGAGACCACCCCCTGCCCAGTCTGGGAGGGCTTTCCCTGCTGCCAGCTGCGATATTGATTCGTTTAARCCCARCCCCRGGATAAACTCAGCCACTTCYCTGGACAGCCCAGGTGGATTGAGGGGCAAAACACGGCTCGGGCTGTGCCTGACGCAGCTCTGAGCGCAGGAGGAACCCCGGCTCCTGAGTCTTCGCGGGCCCCAAACCAGAGGAACCGGCAGCTTTTTAAAAACTAAAAGTCACGCCGAGCATTCGTCTCATGATGCTCTGTCCAGCTGCCARCATCTGGGCCGGCAGCTTGGCTGCGCTCCTGGCGCAGGCGGGGATGCCAAGCGCCGCCTTTTGGGATCGGCCCCGCGGGAGATTAACTTTCTTATTCCAGGAATTTCTTCTTTCATGTCTTGGCGGGGGCCGTGCCCCGCAGCAGAGCACGGCTCCACTCCCGGCCGCGGCGCCCGGTGCCGCCCCGGGCCTGGCGGGGGCTCAGCACCGCCCCGGTGCCCCCACTGCCACTGCAAGCTCTCAGAAGCGGATTTTGGGGGGCTGCGGGGGTTTCCTGGGGCTCCTCGTCGGTGTGTCGCAGGGTCAACTTCCAGCCCTGCAGCTCCGGTGCTGTGGGCAGGCACCTGGTGCCCGGTCACGGGTGGCTGGAGGGTCACAGCCAGACCCAGCACGTCGGAGCCACTGCCCAGCACTCGCAGCGTGCATTTGTGACCCTCCAATAACAGACACATGGCAACGAGCTGTTAGTCGTGGCTAATGAGTGGGAAAAACTCTCAGGAGCCTTTCCCAGTGCTGCAGGGAGCTCAGCACAGGGCAGGATGGACTCAGGGCTGGGAGTGACGCCTGTGGGGACCGGAGAGGGTGGTGTGAGGCTTGCCAGAAACCACTGCACGTTTTTCCTGGGGGTTTAATTTGCACTGTGAAGGCTGGGGCAGCATGGGAGTTCTGCCATCCCCAGCATTGCCCGGTGGTACTGAGCCCCCTCTCTTTGTGTCCCCGCAGAGAAGGAGGAGATCGACCAYCCCAACAACAGCTTCAGCCCCTGCAGCATCCACGACCGCAAGTGCCTGCAGAAGCAGCAGGCCAAGAGGGTCAACAACGGCAACAAGATGCGCAGCAGCGGGAGCCCTCACCACCGCGAGGACGCGCGGCCCATGGTGAGCACCGGGAGGGCACCGTGGGTGCTCCAGGGTCGGGGTACTCGGGCTCTGGGAGATCGGGGGGGTGTTCCAGCCCTGCGGCCAGCTCAGCCCCCCCTTTCCCCAGCCACAGGGTTCGTGCCAGAGCGAGCTGCACCGGGCGCTGGAGAAGCTGGCGGCCTCGCAGACCCGCACGCACGAGGATCTGTATGTCATCCCCATCCCCAACTGCGACCGCAACGGCAACTTCCACCCCAAGCAGGTAGGACGGGCTCTGATCCATCGTGGGGGGCATTTTGTAGAGCCAGGATGGGGCTGGGAGGGGGACATGGACGGAGGGGACAGTGACAAGGCATGGCAGAGCCCGCCTGGCTCCTGGCTTTGGTGGGAATCACCCTTTGGAAAAGCCCCGGTGTGGGATGGGGGTGACAAAACCCCTGTGAGAGTTCCTGGTGGCCAAACAGCCCATGGGAATGGGGTCGTGGGGGGTAGAGGGGGTGTCCCTGACCAAAGCCATCCCCACAGTGTCACCCGGCGCTGGACGGGCAGCGGGGCAAGTGCTGGTGCGTGGACCGCAAGACGGGGGTGAAGCTGCCGGGCTTCCTGGAGCTGAAGGGGGACTTGGACTGTCACCAGCTGGCCGACAGCATGTGAGCGCCACCGCGGCGGCCGCGCGGGGCCAGGACCCCTGCCGGGGCTGCCTGGGAGACAAGGAGAGGGGACGTGACTGCTGAGCAGCGCCCCGGTGCCGGGGGACCCTGGGATGCGCCACCGCGGCACCGTGACCTGCGCCATGACCACTATCCGCCACCGCCGGGGGTCCCGGCAGGCGACAGCGGCACCCCCGTCCCGCACGGACACAGCTTGGATGGCACTGTCCTGGCACTGGGGTCGGGCTGTCTGCGTGCAGCGGGTGGGGGACACTCTTGACGCTGTCCCTTGGTATCCCCGGTTCTCACCCCGGCCCCGCAGGCAGCACYGGGCACCCGGCACATCGAGGGTGTGGTGGCAGCATCTCATCCGCAGCGCAGTGCCCTCCGTGCCAGACCTGKGCGCGGGCAGCAGCAGAAGTGCCTCATCCTGCCCTCCCTGGTGGTGAGAGGCTGCCCAAGCGAGGACTGKGGGGCCTGGAGAKACCCCCCGTGCCTGCATCCCACCCRGAGCGTGTGTGCGAAGCGCAGCGTGGCCGCACGGAGCAATAAGAGACCTTCCCCCTCCCTGCTGCAGCCCCACAGCCCGGGACATCCTCCCCACGGCCCAGCCCCGTCCCGCTCCCTGTGCAGGGACAAAGCCTCCCATCCATCCTGCCTCTCCCTGCTCCATACTGAGGCCGGTCAGGACCCCCAGGCAAGCAGCAGAGTGTCCTCACATGCATCGAGTCCAAGGGGAGGGTGGAGGGATGAGGGATGCCCAGAAAACACATCCCAGGGGAAAGAGCTTCTTTTGGTTTGAGTTCTTTCTTTCTTCCCCCAATTTTTTTTTTTTACATTTTTAAAAAAAAGTTGCTGGTGGAATCTAAAAAGTGACTGTGTGGTCCCGAGGCTGGAATTCTCCATCCCCAGGGATTGGGGCACTGCAGTGWTGGCTCCTGTCTTCTCTTCTTGGCCAATGTGACAAAACCGGGATGGATTCTGGAATGCCTCCATCATGGAATCTGCAGATTTCACCAGCACAAAGTTCTCAGCTGAGAAATTGTCACTGGTTTTATAGCTACTCTTTTAATTTTTTTTTTTCTTCAAGCTGGGCTGGGAATTTTTCACATAAAAATGCCATGGAAAGTGTGCCAAAGACAGAGGGGACTTTCCCAATCCCCTCCCGACCCACCCTCGGGCTCCATGGCCTCAGTGGTAGGTTTTGGTTTTTCCATGTGGATTTGTCCCGTCCAAGGCCCCCCCGATGGGAACGCAGCGTTTCAGTTTTAGTGAAACACCCTCTGCCCTCCCTGCCTGTCCCTGTGCCCTGCCTGCCCTGGCTGCTCACTCACAGTTTGTAAACCGAATCAATCTGCCAGGACAGTCCTCGRTGGGGCGGGGGGTCCCTGTCCCTGCCACCCCTAAGAGCCACCGCCCCAAGGAAAGGACACCCGGGGCCAGTCACGGTGCCGGTCCCCTGCACGACACGGCGCGGTGGCAGCGCCAGCCCGGTGGCCTCGGCCGCTCGACCCCTCCCCAGATCCAGCGGGGCATTTCCCGGTTTTGGGGTTCCTGGCAATGCCAGGGCAYTTTCTGTGTCTCGCTCCGAGGGCTGCAGCGTTCCGTAGCGTCTCTCCTGTAGTTTAGGGCTGTATTTACACACGACCATGTACCAGTGTCCCCCACCCCAGCGTGTCCCCTGGCGCCCAAGGGGTCCCTGCCYGTCCCTCCCGGGCCAAGCCCGTCCCGTCAGATTCCCGTGTAGCACCGACCTTTTACAGTACACTTGAACCTTTGTATCCTCAAAAAAGGTAATTACTGTATTTAATTTCCCGTTATTTGATGTGTTTCTATCGAGTGTGTTTTATCTTTTATGGCTTTAAATAAAGGGAGGGGAGGGAGGCAGCGCGGAGGGCTGTGGGATCCCACTGCTTTGGGGACAGGCTCCGGTCACCCCCCCTGCCCGAGGACCTGGCCTCCTGGTCCTGTGTTRGATTTGGGGTTCAGCAGCCCTGGAAACCCAGGTGCGGGGTGGGAAACAAATGATTTCTTGCCCCCTCGTGACTCCCAGCTCAGCGTCTCCACCGGTGCCACCGGCAGGATCGTCACCTCCGGGCACGGAGCAGGCGCCAGGCTGGGGAGGGGACCCTGCCCCGGCTTCAAAGTTCAGGGGCGGGCAGGGACAGGCACCGGCTGCTCCGGGATGCGGGCTCGTAGCCAGGCAGTGCCGCCTGTGCGGGTTCCTGCTGGTGCCGGGGCGCACCGGGCATCTCCAGCCCCGCTCGGTGTTTCGGGAGGGTGTCAGGATGCAGCCGGGGGATGCCCAGGCACAGGAATTGCGACAGCCGGACACCTCCCGGTCACGGCTCGGCTTGGCTTGGCTCTCTCCCAGCGCCTGCAGCCAGCTCTGCCCGGGGTCACGGCCCAGGAGTTCGCCGGGTCCCTGTTTGGTGGCTCCCGGGGCCGGCAGTGCCATCCGGGGCTGGCGCCAGTCTGATGCTCCGGTTACCGGCGGTGCCGGCGCTGTGCAAACACCCCCGGGAAGGGGCCGGAGCCAATTCAGACAGCCCAGAAATCCGCTGGCACGGCAGAGCGGCCACCGGAGCGGGGCCGACGCCAGCGCTCCTGRAGCCCGGCCCCGCGCCCCGGCCCTGTGGGGGCAGCACGACCCCCCCAAAGCACCGTGTGGAGCCAAAACCTTTGCCTGTCCCCATTCCCAATCGCTGATCCTGACCAGAACCACGATAACCACAACAAAGTCCAGCTCTGGGGGTCCCGGACCTGCCCCAGGGTCACAGAGCTGGGGTCCCTCAGTGATCTTGGGGACCTGCAGCCCCCTGAGTCCCTGCAGCACGATGGGGACAGCAGTGGCACCCTGGGGACAGCAGTGGCACCCTGGGGATTGTCCCAGAACCCACCCTGCAGTGCTGGGTCTGGCTGAGCAGAGCTCAGGACAGAAGGACAAGGGGGACAAAGCTGCTCCTGTCTCGGGTCAGAGCCATCTCAAGTGACCCCAATATCTGTTTTGGTCATTGCCAAGAGTGGCTGCAACTCGACCCGCCCATCAGCCTGGCTGGAGGAGAGGGACTCTGGCATGGGTGCATCTGTTCAGCTGCTCTGGAGCAGAGCGAGTGTCTCTGCTGCCATCCCCTTGGTGCCTGTGGTGGGATAAATATTCTATTGCTTCACTAAAAATACCCCTGGGAGGGTTTGTTAACACGGGGGCCAACATTAAACCAACGCAGACACACCAAGTGAGAACGAAGGTAGAGAACAACCCGGTGGCCTCGGAGCTGCTTTCTGCTCCGAGCTCCAGCACGGGCTGACCCTTCAGCTGCTGCAGATCCCGGCGGCACCGGCTTCCTYCAGGCCCTGCCAATTCACGTCATCTGAGAAGCCGGCCCCAATTCAGGCAAGTCATTTCCAAAAAACGCGATCTTTCGCTGTCATGAAAATGTCACCGTTTATTTCCCAGCTCTCCGCAATGCCGGGAGGTCGAGCCCGCCTGTAACCCCCGCGCTGCTTAAAAGGGCAGGAGAATTTCCCAGCACCGGGAGAAACTCACTGCTCTGTCATTCCTGCCTRTGGATGCTGCTTGCTCCTTGAGGGAAGCAGCTTTCCAGCAGAGTTTAGTGATTTTATACACTTGGATTTGCAAAGCTGCCTCTTTGTGCTGCTCAGGGAGCGATTCCTCCCCATTGCCTGCCCTCCGGGAGCACTGAGAGGTCAGGGCTGAGTCCTCAACAGTGGGAGCTCAGCTCAGCTCAGCTCAGCTCCATGAGCCCGGACACCCCAAGAACACCCGGTAAGAACCCAGCCAGAGCTTTGGGGGGGGTCCTTCAGAGCAGACAGTGCCAGGTGAAGGGCAGCGGTTCTGCATGGAGCACAGCTCCCATCCCTTCCCTCGGGCAGCCAGTGCCCCACAGAGGGGCTCGGAGGAGCATCTCATCCCACCAGAACTGAAAGTCTTTAGCTGAGACTCCTGATGGAGCGTAAAAAAAAACCAGTCTAAATAACTTGCTGTTGCCAAAATGCAACCCAGAAGCGGGAGAAGGGGAACAGGAGAAGCTCAGCAGTGTGTGGCAGCTGCCGACCCTGAACATTCCAGGGTTCTGTCCCTAYGGGCTGGGCAGGAGCTGGCGGATCAGGTCGATGACAAGTGACACYGGCTGCACGGTGTCGTACTCGGCAAACAGGTGACAGAGGTTCTGCGAGTCCGGCTGGTTTTTGGCCACAAACCCGAAGATTCTTTGAGAAAGGAGAGAGGCTTATTCAGTTTGCATCCAGGAATCTGGAGGAATGGGCTGAAAGCAGCCCCAGCCACAAAGCCAAATCCCAGTTCCAGCAATTCCACCTTGGCCCGCTCCCCAATCACGTTTCCTTGGAAGCCAAGCAGCCGGGGAGGAGCGTTTTTGGCAAGGCTTTCCCAGCTGTGAAAAGATTCTTGAGCACAAGGTAGAGCCAGATATAAACTCACTTCCTGAGCCCGGGGAAGGCTGTGGGATTTTTTGGACGGGGGGTTCTGCACGAGGGGATGTGGAGAACTGGGCTCAGCCAAACCTCTCATCCAAACCCCCCCTAAAACTTCACCCGTCAGTCCCACGCCTCATCCTGCCACCATGGCAACTTCTGTCACATCCCCTCCTCATTTTGAAGCTGATTCTTTGCTGCTCTGCCACGCAGMCGCTTCCAAAACCAGCATCATTCCCCCGGATTCCAACCCCCCACTCCGKGCAGGAGTTCCCTGCTCTTACCTGGAGGATTTGCAGTACTTCTGCCACCTGGGGGAAGAACAGAATTGGAGATGCTCAGAGGCTGATGTTTAACTCATTCCATCAGCTGCAAAGCCAAGGGTTGTGTTTAGAACTGCCCAGGACAGTTTTATGGGATTTGGAGTGGTGCAGAGGCACTGGGAAGCACAGGGAAGGGAGCACAACAGGGAGGCACCCAAAACTCACTTTCTGTTCTCAGGATCCATCCCACAGAACCTGATGGCAGCCAAGGGGTAGTGTCGCCTGAAAAACAACCTGGAAGAGGAGAGGGAAGTGTTAGGAGAGGGAAGAGCCTGGGCAAGGACGCGAATTTGCAAATCCAAGCCCTGGGCTGTGCTTGTGGGGGAATGAGGGTCACCCCAAAATCCCAACCCTGGCTGCAGCTGATTCCTGCATCAAGGGGCCAAACCCATCTCAGGGTTGTGACATGTGATTTTCCAACCAGAACAGCTTTTCCTGAGATTGTGGGGCGAGGAGGGAGCTGCCCCTCCACGAGCCCCATCCTGGCTGGGCTCTTACTTCCTCTGCACGTCGGTCAGCGTGACGCCCTGCTCCGTCACCCTGAAGTGCACCAGGGTGGGYGTGGGTGGTGTTTCCATCTCCAGGGTGCAGGAGATGCCCTTCAGGATGGCCGGGGCTCCGGTCAGAGTCTCCACGTTCACCGAGTTGAGGTACAGGACGTTGCACACTGCAAGGACAGCACGGATGTGACACGGGCCAGCTCCGGGGCCGGGTCCCCGGGGGTCATCCTGCAGATCCCTCACACACGGACCCGGGTCAGGTTTGTTTGGATGAAAATTAAAAGGTTTGGTGACTCAGAAATTCTTCGCTAATTTGGTTTGGTTTACTTTAATTCTTCGCGCTAATTGTTGTAAAAGTCAAAGTATTTAATTTCCCGTTTCTAAATGTCAAATTTGTTGGGTTTTTTTTTTCTTCTGTTTGTTACATATTTCCTTTAATGAAAAGCAGAAATACCCCAAGCCAAYGAAGGGCTGAAGGCCAACCTAAAACATGACATTTCGGGCTGATTGAGCTGTTTAAAGGGCTTTTCTGGGTCAAACTAAACTTTCCGGCTTGCCAACTGATTTTTCAGAATTTCCAGCAAAACAAAGCCGTTCCCAACTCCTCAGCCTGCGCTGTGACCCCTCCGTGTGATCTCCTGCTCTTCGCTCTTTGCCCTCACCTGGAGCCCACCGAGGCTGGGGTGCAGAGACCCTTCCCCATCCTGCTCTGCCATTCCCACATTCCCAATAAGATCCCTCAGGAATTTAATCAGTGTCCATCCCTCTCCCAAATCTCCAGCTGTTCAATTCCCATTGAAATCCATCAGGAGAGAGCTAAAAAATCAGGAACTATTTAAAAAATGTGGAAACTGGGGATCTTTTATCAGCTTCACGACCTCAATAACTGTGTTTTTCAAGACTTTGAAGGACCCAAAGTCTCCTTTCCTTAAAAATGTCAGGTTCCCTTGCCTCCCAGGGAAAAATCTGCAGAAATCCTGCTGGTGGGGAAGCTGGAGGGGGATGTCACATCAGTGTCCACCACTGCACAAAGGTGACCTGCAGCTGTCACAGTGTGCCCAGAGCTGTCCCCAGAGCCAACAGCTAATTCCTGTCCTCACCTGCGTTTTTCTTGGCCAGGGACAGCGGGGATTCGGGGGCGCAGTCAGGGCTGTCCTCTCCGTCAGCGAGATCTGCACAAAGGACAGGAGCAGTGATGCCACAGGCCGGGCTGTGCTCGCCGCCTCTTTGGCCATTCCTTATCTCACAAGAGGCTCAAAGGCCCGGGAGCACTCTAATTGCAGGGGTTTAGAGCAGTAATTAACCTAATTGTCCTCCATTTCCCTCTCCGGGCTCTGTTCGCCTCTGATCTCTCTCTCCTGTTTCCTTCTCCCGTTCCCCACCCCCAGGGGAAAGGAATCACCGCTGTCCCGTCCCCAGGTCAGCTCTGCAGGTCCCTGCTCCACCTGCAGGCACCCGGAGAGGGGTCTGAGCCCCCTCCCCACTGCGGGACCGCTCCCACCTCCCCAGACCGCTCAGAGCATCCCTCCCGTCCCGTCCCGTCCCCTACCTCGGGTGGGGATGCTGAGCTTGCAGGGCAGCGCCAGCGGGGTGATGGAGTGCTGGTAGACGAAGGCAGAGAGGCTCCCTGCAATCAGAACAGTGATTTGGGGGGGTTGGTCCTGCCTGAAACCCCCCAGCCGTGTCCCAGAGAGCTCCTGCTCCTGCTTTGGAGCCACTGCCACCGTCTCGCTGTCAGGACCAGGGGTTGGGGGAGTTTCTGTGATGAGCACATTCACTCTTTCCTGTCTAGTGGCGTTTTTAGGGGTTTTGGGAACAGCTCCTGGGGTTGCCAGGGTGGCTGTCGGTGACAGCACCGCCCTTACCGAAATACAGCGTCTCGCTGGCGCCTTTCAGGTGAACGCCTTTGGTGGAGGACTCGATGAGGAAGTGCCGGATGAGGTCACTGCCCTCCTCKCCTGCAAAAAGGGACCGAAAACAGCGTCAGGACCAGCCCCAGCCCCGCTGTGYCACCCCTGCCCACCCCAGGGTCCCGTCCCAGGGCATCACCGGAGCTGCTCTGCGCTGCCATCAGGGTGGCACCCACAGCATCCCCCACACACCAGAGCGCTGTGGCCTCTCAGCTGCCTTTAATTCGAGCAGTTCCAGCCCAAACCCTTGAGGTAACCCCTCCGTTAGCCCCCCGTACCTGTCTGGCTGCCAGCCGGAGGGCCGGGCACCTTCATGGCCAGTCCGAAGGAGCCGCGGTACGAGGTGCTGTCCCGCACGACGAAGGCGCCTGGCTCCTTGTCCCGCAGCAGCTGGATGGCTGTCAGAGCACGGGCGGGGGCTCAGCTCCCCGGCTGTGCCCTGCTGCTCGGCAGGGAAARCTCGGGAGAGTGTGCCAAAAACGCCACATCTCTCGTGTGACAACCTGCAGTGTCCCTACAGTCCCCAGGACGCTCAGTCCCTGCCCAGCCCATGCTGTGGGACAGCAGAGGCAGCAGCAGCTTGGCTGGGCTTGGAGGAGTTTTTATTTCTGAGCTGTCCCCTTCAACCTGTGAGAGGGGCTCTCAGCACCCATCAGCCCCCAGGAAATTTTGAATTTTTYCCCACTGAGTCCCCACGGGGACACCAGAGAGCTCCCGGGGATGGGACAGAGCCCGAGGTGGGGTCACACCCGCAGAGCCCGCCCTGCCTCACCTCGGTCCCTGCTGATGCTTGGCTTGAACCARTATTTCGATGTGTCCATCACGAACTTCATGGTGGGCTGTCCAGCCTTCAGGGGACCTGCAAGAGACCCCAGGGTGTCAGGGCCACACCTGAAGGCTCTCTGCAGGCGACAGAGCCCAGCAAATGTGTTTCTCTCATGGCCAGGGCTGAAGGTTTTTTTCAGTCYTTTTGAATCCTTTCCTCCCCGCTCCTCAGAATATCTCATTCTCCGTGTAATTATCTCTCTTGGCAGGYTGTGGTGCAGCGCAGGGAGGGTCACATGGAATCCCCTGGCAGTGCCARCCTGCCCAGCCCTTCACAACCCGCTGGACCATGGGATTTACACCAGGGGCTGACCCACATGCCCTTCTGCTCTTCCCATAAGGATCCCAATTAAACCCTCTGCCCCCAGAGCTGCCTCCGCTCCTCTCCTCCAGGGAACAATCGCTCCAGTGTTTGCCCTTGAATGTGGGACCTTGTGAATGAACTCTGGCACCTTTGGGTGTCCTCAGAGCAAACGGGAACCCCAGCCCTTCCTCCCGACCCGGCCTGGGGCAGCGAACGAGCAGGACAGGATAGGACAGAACCATGTTTTTCACTGTCAGGTACTATAAATGGGTGCATYTGCATCTCCTGGAGGGAGCAGAGCACCCCTGCCTGCTGAGCCCGTGCCCAGGACACCGGTGGGCAGAAGGATGTGGCCAATCCAGGGTCACCAACCACAAGCTGGAGACCACCCGGACCATGGGGAGACACAGCTCCATCTCCAGCAAGGACCTCTCGCCCTTTGTACCCATACCCACAGCTAAAATGGGGTTTGCTCCCCCTTTCCCATCAGTTTTTGGGGTGTTCAGCTCTGTCACTCACTGTCCGAGGCGCAGCTGAGCGCGGGCGCCGACACMGCCGTGTTCAGACCCCCGAGCCTCGGGGCCGGGCTGCAGCCGGGCAGGGGGGGCTCTGTGCCACAGCTCGGGGGGGCTTTGGCCAGCCGGGGGGGTCCATCTCCTTGCTCCAGGCACCCGTTGACCAGCAGCACCGGGATGTCGGCCGCCGAGGTGAGGATGGACGGGGGGCAGCTGCTGGCCTGGCCTTTCTGGCTCAGGGAGATGCTGGTGCCAGGGGAGCTGCCTGCCCTGGGCTGGGGGGAGCTCTGGCCGAGAGCGTCCCTGGGGTGGCACACGAGGGCACAGGAAGGGGAGCAGGGGCTGCCCAGGGAGCTGCTGGGGGACGCACAGGCGGCGGCTGAAGCGTCAGAGTCCTCGTTGAGGAGCGAGTGGGTGCTGCTGCGGAGGGAGAGGGAGCAGAAATCAGGGGGTGATCACACACAGAGCCCACCCCAGCCCTGCAGGGCATCATCTCCCAGCCCAGGGAACGAGGGATTTGGGGTCCTGCCCCGTGCCCCTTTTGCCCCGTGCCCCTTTTTCCCCGTGCCAATTCTGCCAGGCACAGGCGGTATTTACCTGCCCAGSATGTAGCTGGTGTCAGAACCGGGGCTCGTGGAGAGCTGGGACACCCAACTGCCCCTCTGCCGGCTCCTCAACACGTGTGCGGGCTTCAGCAAGTGCTCAGCGCCCGGGGAGGTGCCGAGRGCCCCGGGGCTGGAGGGGACGGTGTCCGTGTGTCCTGCCGGGCACTGCAGGGGCGCCACGGGGCTCTCGGATGCTTTCCCGCAGCTCAGGGCGGCCGAGCGGGGGCTTGAGGGTCCGGCTGGGCTCGAGAAAACCACGCTGTCACTGGTGCTGTATTTGCCTCCGAGAGCCCCTTTGGGGGGCAGGAAGCTGCTGGGCTGGGGGGATCTGGAGAAGGGGGTGCCCAGCAGTTTAGGGGAGCCCTGTGGCACGTCGGGCCCCGTGGCTCTGCCCGGTGTCAGCTCGATGTATTTGATGTCTGCAGGGAGAGAGAGGAGGGCGTGAGGGACCTCACCGAGCTGGGTTCCTCAGCAAATCTCTGYGGGKAACACAGAACAACAGTGTCTGTTGYTSCTGCTGTGAATTTTGRCTGCCCCTCTGCAGGGCCGGGGGTCCAACATCGCCCTTTGAGGGCTGATTGCTCACAGATCCCAAAGTGCAGTGATTCCCCCTCTCCCCGTGCTGGCAGGCTCCCAGGGAAGGGGGTTACATGCGGTCATGTCTGGCTGCTCAGACCCCCCTCGCCAGCATTACCCAGCCAGGACCTGCCAGGACCTGCAGCCAGGGGTGGGTGTTCCCTGCAGCAGCTGCTCTGTTCCTACTTGACTCAAGAGAAAAACATCTGCCTGCTCCCCTGGGGTGACGTCAAGTACGGAGGGTGGCCCTGGACACCTCGGGAGGGGACTGGGCAGAGAGGCAGGGGGATGGCACCAGGCCCCAGGGATGGCTGGACTTCCATCCGTGCTGTGGGAATGGGGCAGAGGAAATCCTCGTGGGATAGGGGTGAAGGAAATCCACGTGGGATGGGGGCAGAGGAAATCAATTTGGGATGGGGATAGAGGAAATCCACGTGGGACGGGGTAGAGGAAATCCACATGGGATGGGGATAGAGGAAATCCATGTAGGACAGGGATAGAGGAAATCCACAGGGATAGAAGAAATCCATGTGGGACAGGGGTAGAAGAAATCCACGTGGGATGGGGGCAGAAAAAATCCATGTAGGACAGGGATAGAGGAAATCCACGGGGATAGAAGAAATCCATGCAGGATAGGGGTGAAGGAAATCCATGTGGGACACGGGCAGAGGAAATCCTCGTGGGACAAGGATAGAGGAAATCCATGTGGGATGGGGATAGAGGAGATCCACGGGGATAGAGGAAATCCATGTGGGACATGGGCAGTTACAACCCTCTTGTTGTCCACTACAGGTCCGGCCATGCTGGCTGCAAACACAAACCCGGGCAGGGCCTGGCTGATCCCTCCTCCCACCCTGCCCAAATCTCAGCAGAGAAGYAACTTCCAAGGCAGTTTTTGTGCCTGTGGGATCCTTCCTGCCCTTCCATTCGTGCTCAGAGCATCTCCAGCCCCTCCAGGTGACATTAGGGACATGGGAACACACCTGACAGAGCATCTCTTGTCCCAAACCCTCAGTGAAACCTCACAGCCAGGACCAGGGGTGTGGGTACCCGTCAGGTCCTGGCTTCCTTGGACAAAGCCAGCATTTCTGGCTGGGCTGGAAGAAGCCTTTTAGCAAGATTTAGGCTCGGTTTAATGCCAGGGGAGCTGCTCCAGTGGTTAATCACCCCAGTGCYAGAGCTGTGCACCTCCCTTCCAGTCTGGACGTGCCCAGCTTTGCTT